GAAAATCTAAGACAAAGATAAGAGAAATAACTGTATTTTTATTTGTAGATATTTTTCTGTCGAAATAAAAATGTAATGCATTTTCCATTTTTTCTTAGATCACATATTCCTGATGATATGTTGAAGGAATATGCAGTTTGCAGTAGCTAAATATTTCCATTGTATTTATGTCTTCAGCAACTAGGTTTGTGTTTCCTTTGCAATCATGAATGCAGGTTTGAAAAGAGAAAAGTGCAGACAACTTGACACACAAATAGACTGCAAACATGGATGTGGAGTTTGTTTTGGAATGGTTCAGTATTAGTGGCAGAGAAAATGACACTTTTTAGGTTCTGAAAAAAATATATAGTGACACTTGTATAAAACACTTACAGTAAACTGATTTTTAAAGGTTTCTCATCGAGTAATAGAAATATTTCAGGATTTCAGGCTGAAAACCACAGTCAGTAAAAGAGGTTTTTATATTTTTAATAGCTGAAGCATAATCCAGAATTCACAAGTTTTTTCTTAGCTGCTCTCCACTGCTGTATCACAGAGACTTAATTATGCAGAAAACCCTTGGAGTCGGCATCTTACAGTGGTCCCATGATGCCCATAATGAATCCCCTCTCAATACAAACACACACTGTACTTCATTCACCTAACAAAGACACAAGTGTCTGCAGCTGGAATTACTGCCAAACCATTTCTAAAGATGCTTCATACTGTCAGATATTAGATATTGCTATGTGTGTGTATGTATATTAGTGTTGGGTTCGAGTCCACCTAAGTCGATCCGAGTCTTTAACCAATCGAGTCCGAGTCCAAAATAGGCCGAGTCGGACTCAAGTCCGAGTCCCAAACAGCCGAGTCCGAGTCCAACGAAACTCTATTATTTATTAGTATCTTAACATTGTTTTAACCTTTACAACTAGTTAAAAACGCAATGTACATTTAAATGTAACAAAAGCAAACCTCTATTGCATCTTGCCATTTTGATTTTTGATTAATAATTAGTGTCCTGCTTTGCTCAGCAAACTTAAAGTCATGTAACAGAAGTTATGGCTGAATTGATTTATGTATTGTGACATATTTCAGAGTGAAACAGGTTTTAGAATGTGAAAAATTAAAGGGCGGGGCTTGACTTTATTCATCGTTAAAGTAAATGTATAATTTCAAGAGTGGGGGTAAAGGAGTTATCTTGGTGAATGGGACCTTAAGAGCAGAAAATGCAGCTTTTATCTCAATAAAAAACAAGCTTTATATAATTTCTACGATTTTTAATGAAATATGAATTTTGAATAATCAAAATTGGTTTGTGTCTGCTTATTCTATTCATCAGTGTTTGAACCATTAAAGAAGAAACTGCATTTTAATTTCTGGGTTAAAAAAAAAAGAAAAGAAAAATGAATGGACGCCAAAGTACACGGACCCCTTAGACAGGGCATTTTTAATTTTTTCTTGGATGAAAATAAGGCTGTGAGGGATAAACCTAATCTATACAATGGCACACACTGTGTATAAAAGCCCTACATATACTTTCCATAAGTCACAGGCAACACACACCTGTTTTATTTTTGAATGTATTTATAGTTACATTAATTACAATAAATTACATTATGTAAGGAATAATTGATGACGGGCCGTTGAATTATTAGAGAATAATACACACCCAAGGTGATTTTGGACCCATAAAAACTATTGCCGCAAAGATGTTAGAAAAAAAATATTTTTCTTTGAAGCTAGAAACTGCCACTAATACAAAAGCAGAAAATAATAAACTAATGTAATAAAACATTCTCAAGCTTACTGAAGGCAAGTAAACACTCCAAGTATTACTTACAAGCTAAATGATAAATAATATATATTACTCAAAAATACAAATTAAATAGTTTTTTTTTAGTTTTTAAAGTTTTTCAGATAGTAGCCTAGTAAAGGCTTCTAGAAATAGCCTACTGCAGACATTTCATGAAGTAATAAATGTAAAAATAATCTTCACTGTATAGATTCACATTTATGACGCAGTCGGCGGCTGCAGGTTTATGCTGTTGCTTTAAGATCTGACGTATAGATCAAATATTTTGACACATCTGTATTTCTCCCAACTGTTCAAGTTCACTTAAGACAAAACCGACTGCATTTACATGAATAGTCTCCAAGACGGGCATTTTGACATAACTTTTCATGTAAGTGTGTAATAACAGAACTTAAGAGAACTTAAAGGCACAATATGTAATTTTCGCCGCTGGAGGGCACGTATTCAAAATAAACAAATAGACAAAGGTGTAGTTTGATGACGCCGTGACTGAGTGTGGAATCATGGGAGTTGTCGTCTTCATCCCCACAACCGACGCAATCTGACGGGACTCGGACAGAAATCATGTTCATGGATGAGCTAATGATTTATTCTTTGAGCGCGCTTTCGGTGTGTGAGCACAGAAAACCGTCGGCTTTTAAGTACTGGACAAGACTTAAAAACACATGCAAATACTGAATATCCCATTCGTGATAATGCATTGAGTCCGTGACATTTCCGTCAATTGTCCCTGGACTCGGTTGGACACGGACATATTTTCCGAGTCCGAAAGGCTCAAGTTCGAGTCAAGGCCGAGAAAAATGCATCCGAGTCCGTGACAAGTCCGAGTCCTTTAAAAAACACTGTACTCGAGACCGGACTCGAGTCCGAGTACGAGTCCGAGTACCCCAATATATTCATGTTAAAAATAATGAAGTTGGACATTTAGACAGTATTCATCCTGTGCTTATAAAAATGGTGTTGTACAATATTTTGGCTCAGGTCACCTCCTCGACCCAGTCCAGGCAGTTTGCACTACTCAGATGAGGACGTCAGCACCAAGTACAATGACCTGGTCCCAGCAGAGAGCAGCAGCCTCACAGAGAAACCATCAGAGATCTCCGATTCACAGGTAACAAATGTTCTGGAATGAGACATTGTCAGTCTGTGTCTGTTAATATATGTTAAAGGGTCAGTTCACCCAATAATTCTGTCCTCAATCACTCACCCTCATTTCAAGAGACTTTAAAGCTTTAAAAAGGATATGAATATGCATATATGGACAACTTTTATTATACTTTTCTGATTATGGTGCTTTTGCCTCCTTTCTAAAACCTGAAAGCTCCGGTTCCCATTGTAATTGTATGGGAAAGAGCAACCAGTATCTAAAAAAAATCTCCTTTTGTGTTCCATAAAAATTCTGAAAACAACGTGAGGGCGTTTTTGGGTGAACTAGCCCTTTAACCTCCAAGCAGAATTTCTAATGCTAAATCTAGTCAGGTTCATTTAGAAATTCCCTTATCACACACTTTTATTAGGACAAGACTCGCTGTGATGAAACTTTCTCAAAAGTAGGATACAGCCCTGCAGGAAAGGTCTGTTATACCCTACTTGAGATTTTGGCTGTCTTACTTGCGCATGGCTTCAATCCAGGCTAGGTCCTGTGGGTGGTTAGTTTTTTTTTTTTTTTTTTTTTTTTTTTTTTTTTTTTTTTTTTTTGTCATGTCCAGAACATTCTGCTGCATTCTAGTTCATTCTCTCCAGACTTTGTGTCCTGAGGCACAGGTTGGAAAATATGTGGTAGACTTGAGAACAAAACAGGAATTATAATCAAACAAATACTCACACAGACACATAAAATTAAAGTGTGAGAACTGGAAGGCTTTGGTTGGACTCTCTCCACTTCTCTCAAGTGACCATTTAGCTGGCATGATAAGCAGAAACCATTCAGTTTGAGTTGTGTGAAAGTCTAGCATTGGCATTTACTAAACAAAACTCGCAGACTGGCAAAGAGAGCAGGAAACACACACATCACGCTGTTTTCTTCACAGTAACAGTTTTATCTTTCCAATGAAACACGGCTGAGCAATATTCATCTATTTTTAGTCATTTTCAGAATCATCATGCCCCCTATGATTTGTGGAGTGGATATTTAATGAAGTCTTTGAGGTAGATTGAGTAGAATGATTATTGTAACAAGGTTCACTCATGTTGCGTGCAATTTGTAATAACCATTTCCCAATATAACACAAAAAGTTATTTATAACTTTTTCCCAGTATAACACAATATATGGCTCATTTTATTTATTTTTTTTTAATTTAATATATATTATTATTGTTGTTGTTTTTATTATTTTATTTAATTTTTGTTTTATTTAAATATATTATTATTATTATTATTATTATTATTATGTATTCAGTCTTAGGTGTACATATATTTCAGCTGTAAATGTAATTAATGCAATCCCATTTTTGAGCCAGAAATATATTTTTAAATATATTTTATTGCATTTTTTTTTTTATATTTCTTTCTTATTATTCTTACTAACGAATAATTGTAAAAAATATTTAGTAGTGGGAAATAGTTTATTTCCCAAAGGATTTCAAGCATTTAATTTCATTTAAAATTGTACGCACTGTCACCAGTACCTCCCAAAGTGCACATCATGTCAAACAAAAGCTCTAAACTTTTCATCTCCTCCTTGCTCTTCGCTGACACCTCCTGCCACCACCTTCTAGACTGCTGGCATCCGGCCACCTTTGACTCGTGGTTGGAAACAGAGCATCTCCTGTTCCCCTTCTGCTCCTGCTAAAGTCTGGTATCATCGCCATCGAGCAGAGTGAAGAGAGAGGCTGGAATCTCTCTTTTAAGTTTTATTGAGCGGATAACTCCAGGCTATTGCAGATCCATTGAGCTGTCTCCAAAAGAGCCAGAGCCTCCACAGAGACGTATAATACTGACATTGTTCAGGAACTCTTAAAGATGGCTCAAATTCATTTGGCAAGCCAACAAACCTGAGCACCTAGCTGAGCCAGCTCTGCCTTTAAATAAACACATGGGAGATGAATGAGATGTTAGACAGGTGTAATTCTGTCTAGTCATTTGCGTGTGTTGAATGGACACAAAGTTTGTTTTTAAATCTGATTTTGAGCTGCTTTTTGTTGGAAACGCTGGCACTACGGCTGCAGCTAACAGCAGGGATTCCATGTCAAAGCATCTTTGTTTTAATTGGCTCTCTGATGATCATCACATCATCAACACTGTGAGATTCTTCCCAGTGAGAGCCTGAAATAGCTTGTGGAAGTTCTTTCTCATGGAAAGTTTTTGCTTCTCATCAGTCACTCTTATGTTATAGTAAAATGTTAGATTTAATTTGGAGAGATGTGTGCATTTTGCTGATATTTGATGAAACATGGCATAACATGGGCTGGACCATATATCAAGTACTCATAATACTGTACATTTGCACTGATTTTGCTGACAATATAAAATTAGGCTACTTTTATTGTAATATGCTTCTTTTTTCTTTTTTTTTTTACATTTTAATCTTTTTTTGCCCAATGTAAACCTAAAAACAGGAATTTGGAATTTGGCAAGTAGTTTTTTTTTCATATATTAAAATTATATTGAATATATGATTAAAAATTATTAAATATCCTTAAAAGTTAGATTAGTAAAATGACTTTTTTATCACAAAAAAGGTGAAAAACAGTGCAGACATTTTTAAATAGATTTCTACTGTATTTTATTTAATACATTTAAACATATTTCTTTTTATATACACTTATATTTTATAAGTGTATTCTTTTTATATACACTTCTTGGTTGCATATTCTGCTTGGAACTGATCCCTCTGATTGGGAAATTTGAATTAATTTCAGAGTAAATACATACAGTTGTGCTCATAAATGTACATGCCCCTTGCAGAATATACAAAATGTTAATAAGTTTAACAAAATACGAGGGATCATGAAAATGGCATGTTATTGTTTATTTAATACTGTCCTGAATAAGCTATTTCACATAACAGATGATTATATATTCTCCACAAGACAAAAAAATTACTGAATTCATAAAAAATGACCCCTTTCAAAAGTTTACATACCCTTGAATTCATAATAATCTGTGTTGTTTCCTGGATGATCCACGACTGTCTTTCTGTTTTGTGATAGTTGTTCATGAGTCCCTTGTTTGTCCTGAGCAGTTCAACTGCCTGCTGTTCTTCAGAAAAAAATCCTCCAGCTCCTGCACATTCTTTGGTTTTCCAACATTTTCTGCATATTTGAACCCTTTCCAACAGTGACTATGATTTTGAGATCCATCTTTTCACACTGAGGGCAATTGAGGGACAAAATACACAGCTATAAGGTGGAAACATTTACTGATGCTCAAGAAGGCCACACAATGCATTAAGAGCTAGGGGGTGTAAACTTTTTTGAATTTTTAATTAACTTTTTAAACCTTCAGTTAATCCATACCTGTGCCACATTAGGATTTCTCCATCCGTCTCTGTAGAGATATGAGTGGGTGTGGGTTCGTTTTGGTGGTCACACTGGCCTTAAACCTAAATCTAGTGGCCTGTGTTAAATTTTTGAGCAGATTAGACAAAAATATCACACATGTAATGCCTCTTTAGTGATGCATCAGCACTGTCAGCCTATAACCTACAACCTATAATCTTGTGTAAAACATATTTAGATTCCATGTATTTCTTTTGCAACTGTCACAAGGTCAGGCTAGTGTCTCTATCTAAATGTAAGTCCACAGATGAAGTGAAGTTTCGTTCATTTTAAAGGAATTTCTGTAGGGCAAGGGCTATACTCAAACCGGGATTTTCCGGGAGGGAACATCTTGCCCCACTTTCTCTATCTGCAGGAGACAAAACATACATGCCAAACAACCAGTTCCAGTAAGATCAGATCCTCCCATCTGAGCATTCTTTAACCAGACCCATCACAATCTGTCATCAGCTTTTATTCTATTATTATTTAGTTGAATATCTTGTTGTTTTGGATTTTTGTGGTCTGAAACATATTTTAGTAACTTCATGAAGGCATTAATTAACAGAAGGTCTTTAAAGGGGTGGTTGATTGCAATTTCACTTTTTTAACGTTAGTTAGTGTGTAATGTTGCTGTTTGAGCATAAACAATATCTGCAAAGTTACGAAGCTGAAAGTTCAATGCAAACGGAGATATCGTCTTTTAAAATTCTGGCGGTTTAATGCCTACAAAAATGGCTGGTAGAGACTACAACGAGGTACTTCCCGGGTTCGTGACATCACAAACCCAGATAAACCCCGCCCTCTGGAAAAGGCAGCAAAGGGGGCGAGGTCATGCTGCGCTGCTTTGGAGAAGAGAAAACTAGAGGTGCACGTAAAAATCTGTTCATATATGAATCGCGATTCTGTCTTCTAGCGATTCCAGGAATCACACTGACATCATTTTTTTTTACCATTTTGTTTGGTGCCAGCATTGCCTTAATTACAATGTGCTCTTTCTGCAACTTCTACAGTGTTCTTGTCACAAGCTACTTGTTACATAGGCCTATAACACATTATACAATACAATCAAAATACAAACAAGCTTGACAATGGTATTGGTGTGGATCATAGCTGGATTGAGGAGTAAGAATAACAGGAGTGTATGAATGCAAACAAGCATTTTTGGAGGAGAGAACAGCTGTCATGTCCTGCATGTGTCAGCGGGGGAGGGCAGGAGTAGGAGTAGGTCACGGCACTCTGTCTCAACCGACATGTTTTGATGACCACACACACAAACACACACTCAGACACATACCGTGTCAGCATGCAGCTTTAGCTTCTGAGCTTGCCTTCGCTGTGAGGTCACACTGAACAGAAAAAAGCTTTCAAAGCTGAATTACAGGGCGTTTTGTTTGCTGCTTATTGAGTTGTTGAATTTGCTGGTATGACTGGAATGTCTCTCATTGGAACACTGCAGTTGTTTAAGAAGCTGAAATCAGCACTTGCTCAATAATAGAAGCATGATGCTAGAAAAGTCCATGATCAATAATACTTTGAGCTTTAGGCATGTATGATTGTAAAATGGATGTGAAATGTCCAAAAAGTCCTATATATATATATATATATATATATATATTCTTGATCTTTAATAATATATTATTAAAAATTTTATTTTTTTCTATTATAAAATAAATGATCATTAAAATATATAATTTATCAAATGAAATGTAAATGGGAAACACTGTAATCCTGTTTGTATTATTACAGACATGACATGCATCTTGAGCATTGAATGAAACGGTGAAAAAAATGAACTTGGCTAAAAAAAAAGTCAAAATGCAGACATTTTTAACTAAAACTGCATTGAGAAGCACTTAAGTCATCGTTTCAGGAAAGAGTAGGGGTGTTTTTACTTTATCTAATAGCGGTTAATTTGTGGGGATTCCATGAAATTCAGATAACAAACGATTTTTTAGGAATTTTCTCTTACATACAGAAAGACAAAACAATGTGCCTTTCTGTATTTTATCATACAGATTTTTTTTTCTCAAATGTCTTTGCTTTTTAAAGAAAATAAAAAAAAACGGATGAAAGAGATTCAGCAGGTCTTTGGCATGAAATCTGCAGCTCTTATTTTGGGGGGATGTGGGGCTGGTTTGGGGGAAATTGCTTTCCTCTCTGGAATTTGAACCAGAGGCATGTGTGTCACATATGTGTGTATGTATAATAATGGTGGACTGGAGAGATCTGTGCATTGTTAGTCTTTTCACTATAAAAGAGAAATGTTGAACTGTTTTGCCAGAAATATACATTTAATATAGTGATCTTATCTATGTGTTTTGCAGTAGTTCCGTGAGAGGTAGAAGTGCAAGACACTTCTGTAGATTCTGTTTGTTTGTTTTCATTCATTTCACATTGCCACATAGCCTAGTAAAAGACCGTATTGCTCTCAGACAGGGTGGATTAAATTTGATTAAATGAGATATTTTGTTAATAACAGACTCATTGTTTGTGTCAAACAATGGAGCCAGAGTCTAGCTATTTAGAAAGATCAGAATCAAACCCTAAAAGCAGCATTTAGAAATTCCCAGATTGAATTCCTGGCAGAGGGAGTGCAGAAGTGGTGGTGAGGATAGACGAGTCCTCTTAAAATGATATGCAAACCCTAAAAGCCTGAGCTATGATGGTTCTTCTCCCTTATTTTCAGTTTTCCCCTCTCCATTTGGCAATTCAAGCTTGGTTGGTACTTTAGGATACATCTGTGGTGAACTCCATCAGCCAGCTCTAGAAGTGTGAGCCAGATATGTCAGAAAGAGAAGAGGGAAGGTGTTGTAATAAATATGGTGGTGGAAGACAAAGATTGATGGAGAGCTGATCTTCATACAGTTTTCCACTGTTCTAGTGCAGAGTGCTGTCTCAACAAAGAGTGTAGGAGGTTGCTCCAAGAAATGCATTAAAGTGTCAAGAAGTACTTCCAGCCCGCATTACCCTTACAAAAAATATCATGGTACTAGCCTGCTGATAAAATATAATGGTATTATTTTGAATTTCCAAACAGTATTTTTTAAAGCAGCACTATGTAACTTTTGGCGCTCTAGCGGTTAATAAACAGAACTGCACACATCCCGCGGAAGAACATTCCAACCGGAGCTACTTCTCTAAGTTTATGTCTATGGCGATTCACGCAGGTATGTGTTACTCCGCAGCGGTGACGACCCGACCAGGCTACAATAGTCCAAATATAAGTACTTATTATAAATGAACCGTAGTGATTCGGAATAAGACAAAAACGCGGTTTGGAAGATGAATTCATGATGTACTCGCTCATTATATACATTTTGCAAATTTTGGACACAGAAAAAGTTACAAAGTGCTGCTTTAAATAAACATATGCAATCATGCTTTCCAATGCTGTACAGTAGGTTCCAAAAATCTTTTTATTTTATTTTATTTTATTTCTTTAGAAAAATTGAAAACAAACGCGTAAAGTCATAAAAATAAGAATACATATTTAAGTGAAAGAAATGCATTACAAACACTAAATGTTAATACTGAATATTTTTTTTAATTTAAATGTTTAAATTGTTATAATAGTATGGGTTTGTTATGAATAAATTGCATTTAATTAATATTTCAAACAAAACTGATATTACAGTACTTTTTTTTGTAAAGGTAATGCACCATTTTTAAAAAGAAGCCATTGTTTGTCCCATGAAATATGACTTAGGGCCCATACTGCACTGCTTTAAACCCCATGTCTCTGTTTACCTCTAGGAGGCGCTTGTTTTCTCCTTTAAGACTGGGGGCCTCCATACTCTTCCAACTCAAAGGGTGAGGACATGGATTGTGCATTGACTGACAGGAAGTCGCTTCCTAGTGCTTGTCCATTCCCATCCTCTCCATTAGATTCATGCATACATGGTCCAAACCCCACCACATTGACGTGTGACCCCCTAAACGCAGCGTGTGATTGGTACCAGAGGGTACATTTGGTTGTCATAAAGCATTGAGGTTATTTTGAAATGATAGATAGAACCAATTTTTTGGGTTCCTCCCTTCCTTTTTGGCTTTTCTTTCTTTTTCGGTCATTTTTGACAGATTAAAAATTAGGCTTTTGCATTTCACTACTTCCTTCCCACAGTAAATAAAGCCTTGATGATTTGGAGAAGGAAATTAGAGATTGCCAGTAGAGTCCAATAGATGAATTCATTGCATATTCTTCATTTATTCAGGCTGTTGTCATGTCTGTTGTCTTTTTCCCTTTGCAAGAGCAGATTAAAAAGAAAAACTACTTCAATACACTGTTTGATAAAACTAAATGAGCTCTTGCCACACAAGTTCTTCTGGTCTTGAGAGCTTGTCAGTGTCCCCTTTAGATTGTAAATACTGTAAAGCTTTTTACAGTATTTTACTGAACAATGAACTGGTAACTTGAAGTTTGTTTTGCCTATATGCAGTGATGGTGATCAATGTAAATCAGATGTTTTGTGATCGAATGAATAACAATCATTTTCACCAAACTCACACTTGTCAGCCACGATTTCTGTTCTGTTAATCTTTATTAACACCCATTTTAGCCAAAGTTTTGTCAATTCAGAAACTGCTAATGTATTAATAGCATACATGATAGTTGGGTTACTTAAAGGGGTCATATGATGCTGCTAAAAATAACATTATTTTGTGTATTTGGTGTAATGAAATGTGTTTATGCGGTTTAAAGTAAAAAAAACACATTATTTTCCACATGCTGTACATTATTGTTTCTCCTCTATGCCCCGCCTTTTTGAAACGCGTCGATTTTTACAAAGCTCATCGGTCTGAGCTGAGGCCAGGCTAGCGTGAGCGGAAGCCCCGTTCTTCGGTCGAGAACGGCGCGCCAGGCGGATCCGACGAATGAGCAGCAACCACATGTGACAGACCCCGGGCTGGATTCCGCTTTGTCCACGGTAAGAGAAAGGAAAAATTGAAATCGCATCATATGAACCCTTTAAGATGAACTACCCACAAATATTATCAATTATAATTATCACAAATATTCTACACTACTCCACTCAAAAGTTTTTTTTTTAATGTTTTTAAAAGACGTCTTTTATGCTGACCAAGATATTGTGTAATATTATGATAATATTATGATATTATCAAGATATTAGGTAATATTATGAAGTATTATTACAATTTTAATTTTAATTTATTCCCGTGACATCAAAGCTCATGGCAAAGCATCACATGACTTTTTAGAAATCATTCTAATATGCTGATTTGGTGCTTAAGAAGCATTTTTTATTATCACCAGTCTTATGAACAGTTGTGCTGCTTAATACTTTTGTGGAAACTGAATTTTCAAGATTCTTTAAAGAACAGAAAGCTCAAAAGAACAGCATCAACAGATCAATTTAATGCATCCTTGCTGAATAAAAGTATTAATTTATAAAAAAAAAAAATCTTAATGACCACAAACTTTTGAACATTAGTATATATAATTAATGTGAAAATTAAATCAATAATGGATACAAATAGAGCATGACAGAAAACGTGCGACCCAACTTTCAAAGTGACGAATAATGATGATTTCTAGTGTGACTTCTGGTTTTGTGGCTCGATCCCGGACACCTCCTCAAATCATCTCCCTCTTGAAATTGAGATTGTTGAAGTGATTCTGTCTCCATCACTCATTCTTTCTCTCTTTCTCCACCCCAGGGCAGTGACAGTGAATACGAGGTGGACCCCAACCGACAGAAGACCCATTCATTCGTCAACCACTACATCAGCGACCCCACCTACTACAACTCCTGGCGCAGGCAGCAGAAGGGAATCTCCCGAGCACAGGCCTACAACTACACCGAGTCGGAGTCTGGAGAGCCCGAACCCTGCGCTCCTCCGCCGCCTCTGCCCCCTCTACCCCCGTTCCCACCGCAGCTCAGTTCCCCTACAACCCAGAGCCAGTCCCAGGCTGGCAGCCTTTTCAGACCCAAGGGCAGCCGGACTCCCACTCCATCCCAGCAGAGCTCCAACCCACCCAGTCAGCAACCCCCCGCAGCTCAGTTCCTCTACGCCCCAGAGCCAGTCCCAGACTGGCAGTCTTTTTAGACCCAAGGGCAGCCGGACTCCCACTCCATCCCAGCAAAGCTCCAACCCACCCAGTCAGCACAGCACACTTTATCGGCCCCCAAGCAGTTTGGCCCCAGGCTCCCGGGCCCCCATCGCTGGCTTCTCCTCCTTTGTTTGATAGAATGAAGATATCGGCACATGGAAATTCAAAACGAAGGCAGGGGATCTCTTACTTTCCCCAACACCTGGTCAAACTCACGTCTATAGAAGAACGACAACAAACATCAGCCCTGGATCTGTTGTGTTTTAGCTGATTTTTATTTTTGTATACTTTCTTTGATAACACAGTTTGTTTGTTTTTTCGTTTAGGTTTTTGTTTTGTTTCTTTGCTTGTGTATGTTCAGCGTGTTTCGCTTATAATGAAAGACAATCACTTGGAAAGACACGTAAACGCATCAGTGAGCTTTGTTTGTTTTGGTTTGGGTTTTTTGTGCAAACTGCATGACTTTTTTATTGTTCAAACAATTGCTTTCTTTTGCTTTTTCATTTTGTTGTTATTGGTTCTTTTGTTTAATTGAGTTCCACAAAAGAGTACAACACCAACACTAAGTTACGAATGCTGGACAAAAGCACCGACACATGAAAAATAATTTAAAAAGGCTATGGAGAAAATCTCAGCACTTGGACCACATCAAGACAAACGCTAAATGGTGGTTTTGACTGTGGTATTTTTGTTTTTACACAGATGACAAAGTACTGCGGTGATTACGAGAGGTTAAAGTTCATTTGACTAGAGACTATGATCTGATAAAGACCCGCATGCACTTAGCACATGTTTGAGTTGGAAAGCCAGCATCATTTATTGATGTCACAGGTCAGTTTTCACCAGTGCTCTGAAAAGGCCAAAGGTCAAATTAAGTGCTTCATGCTAATATGTGTATTGAATGTTTTTACGGAGGTAAAATGTAGATTGTTTGTAAAGTTGAGCACGAGTATATTTTCCCTCGTGAAACTTATGGAAGGCCAAATATGTAAGCGTCTGATTCACTATGATATTATTATACTATTGCTCTGGATTCATTCATATTCAGAGCCATTCATGTCAGCAGCAGGTGTGTATGTGTATATGTGGTGGGTGGGGCCATTTGTTGCTCCTTTTGATTTGACTCTATGATGTCATCCTGAGCTTCAGGTTGCACTTCTGCCGTGCAAACAGTAACGTTGGACACTAACGTCAATAAACAGCAGCGGATATCGGATATTTGCCAGGTGTCAAACATACCCATCACCTTTCAGATTTTCCCTTTCCTGATCATCTGGCAAGACATAACGTCATAGAAGCTGACAACATTTCAAAGATTGTGCAACCAAGAAAATGCATTGTACCTGTGAACTTCGGATTTTTCACCACTTCGCTTTGGCGTGGCTTTTCAAAGTAACTGAAGATAAAAGAAAATGGACTAAGGGACCCAACACGACGCCAGCAGAGAACTAAACGGCACTTGCACAGCTTACTTGTGAGGTTTAATGATGTTGTTTGCTCTTTCTTTTCCGTGAAGTGATTTTACTGTCTGTATAAACAAGGTCAATGACATGCTCAGTCTGCCTGAACACAGTATATTCCTAAATAAATTATGTTTTCTGCAAACGTTATTGGTTTGAACATTGAAGAGCGCGAGAAATGAGCATTCATGGTTAAGAGTGACTTACGTAGGAGAGGAAGTGGGTAAATCTAAGTGAAAGTGTCCTTAAAATTACATTACTTTAGCTGTTGAGACTTTACAACAGACACTATTACTACTTCTTAACCAGGAGCAACTGAAGAAAACAAGCTATATAAAAGTTCCTCTTCCATATAGATCTGAGTTTTTGTCCTAACCAATCTGAATTGTATTGGTGCTAGTCCAGCTGGTAAACCAACATAGGCATATGAAGCTGGATAACCGTCATGAGCTGTATGAATTTCTTTCTTCTGCAGAACATAAAAGAAGCTATTTTGAAGAATGTTGGTATCACAACAGTTTCGATTCCAAATTTACTTTCATTGTTTGGACAAAAAATAGAATGGAAGTCAACGGGAAATGAAACTCTCTGGTTAGCATGGGCAAATTTGTAGCGGGAAACTTGTTGCACCTGGTTAATATGGAGTCATTTGGCATTGAGAGCAACAGAGGTTGCCACATATTGCAAAGGTGATAAAAACATCACATTAGTTTACTAATTAATTTAATTAGTTTAGTATTAGGAATAACTCCATGTGGACCAGGGGCTTAAGTTGTGCTTCAGACAGATGAGGATAAATACACATAGCATTTATTAGAGTTGTGCATTTGTTGGGCTTAATTACTATCTTTATTGAACAAAGGTTTTGCCAGGTAGGATGTGTTCCTAGATCTCTTGTTGGTCCTGGAACAACATTCAGCTCCAACGAACATATTCCAAACTCTGTTTAATGGGAATATACCTTGGCCTAATGTGCAAGTCTGCAATTGCGTCCTTGCAAATACGTTTCTAACTTAACCCTAACTCTGAAGTCTGATAGGACTGATAGGATTGTTGTTCCAGGACTAACAAAGATGTCCTACTTGGAAAAAATCACCATCACAGAATGAGTGTTATTATTTCATACTTTTGCGTTCTTTTGTACTTGCAATGAGTGGAAATCCATCTTAACCCTCTGATGGACACATATGTGGCCTGTCACTCAAAGTTTCCCATCCTGTTGCTCTGATTGGGTTAATGAGTGTGGATAAATCAGATCAGCAGACCTGTGAAATCCTGGAAGCATCTGTTGCCTCCAGCCAGCCTACAGTCCCAATGCTCTCTCAAGTTCAGAGAGAATAAAGCCAGTCAGTCATGATTCAATTTATATTCGGATTATTTTATAAGAAAAGGACCATTTATTTCTCTTCTATATCCCTTTTTCTGGTGACATCACATTTTTGTGGTGACAACTGCAAAAGTGATATGAACTCTTTCCTATTTTTTTACTTACAAATTGCTTCTTTTCATCCTAAGTATGGCACGAATGAGACCGAAACCCCTGTATTTATGCATTAATGATGTCAGAGACAAAACAGGACAGGAATGTATCTAAATGGAGGGAGATTCCACATCATATTCATCCCAGCGTAAGTCTGTTTTGTGTCCTATTAAACCTAATTTCCTGCTTAAAGCTAATTTCCTTGATTTAAATATAGCGGATGAATTAATATAACAGTATAATGGCAAATGTTGGGTCCTAAAAATGGTCCTAAGAACATGATTTCAGTGGAGGAACTTGTTTCAAAGTTAATGTTCTTCACTATAAGAAATGTCAAATCAAACACAGGTGTTTCTGAGCACTGCATCCCTGAAGTCAACTAAAATGGCTTCTGACAGATAAATGATTAATGTGCACCAGTCAAACAGATATAAATGGAAAATATGCTTGTATAATCTTGGGTTATATAAGGATCGTGAGCGCAGCGTGTCATGTTTAGATGTTATTCTAAACGGAAAGAAATTATCTGAACATCTGACTTCAAGATTTTTTTTCATAATGCAATCAGGTCAAAAATGAAGTTAGAAGAGTTAGCAATTTGTCCGACATCTGGGCAACAATTCAATGTTTCATTCAAAGGTACTTGTGAAGCTCTGCAGCTGCGATACTTGTTTAAACCATCTGCAGTCACTTCCTGTTTGAGGTTACTTCTTTGATTTTTGTGTTAATTATTAAATTATATTATGTCCCTCTTTGACAGAAGGGTAATATGCACTGTGTTGAGATCAAACGACTGGATAAATGCTTTTGATGGCAATTATAGAGTAGAGTTTTACCACTGGATACGAGCCCATTGATCAGCCCGTTTGCTAGCACTATAAAGGGCATGTCAGGAAGTAATCACCTTTTTGAAAAGTTATGGGAATTTTTTGACCACTTTGGCGGCTTTTTAATAACAGGTTTGAAGGGAAGACTGTAAAAAATGTGTAAATGTGTGGTGGTTTTACAGCTCTATTATATACAAAACATACGTATTCCTGCCTTAAACTTTAGGTGGGCCATTTGCATTTCCATATACCTGAAATATTCGTACTTAGATGTTATTAGTTCATTTGAATGTTATTTTGTCCGTTTTTTGGTTATCATGCTCTTTTTTGATCCCTGAAGTGATGTATGGTTGGACTGTGTGTGCATGTGGAGGCAATGAGAGAGTGAGAATGAGTGAATGTTTAGATCTGCTACTATTTTTTCTTCGCCTCCTGGATGAGGGAGATTTAGCGTGCAGATATATTGTACAAAATAAGCTTAAGTTTGTCTCTTTTTGTGTGTGATGGTGGGAATTTTAACACATTTTGCCTTTCAGATCTGTGTAGAACTTAAACCAAAAGAAGTGTTTTGAAAATATAGAGCTGAAATGAAGGTCTATTCAGATGTACGTTTATTTTTTATCACGTTAAGATGTTTAAAGGGACTGCATTTCATTGTATGCCAGTTTGCAAATATGACCACTGGAGTCATATGTCACTATGAATCACCTGGCTGAAGAGGATGTATGTGGCTGGGTTTGTCACATTTGTTTAGTGTGGTTATTGCGTCAACATCAGTTCACTTGGTAACTGTAACCACAGCTGTAATCAAAAATATATTTTTTTTATATATCTTTTGTAAAGATATCTGTTGGCATTGTTTTAGTTAATTTTATTTTTTTACATATGATATTTGTTCATTTAAAATGCGTTTATTTTTGTCTTTTCCTGTGGTGTGATTTACTTCATCAATATTATATACCAGTGCTGCATCTAAGGACTTTTAAAAATGCCTAAAATGGGATGTATTGTATTATAATGAGTGTTTAGCGCCAAGGTTGTACTCTGTGATCAAATATGTATATTCTGTACTAGACAATATATATAAAAAGAAACAATCACTTGAAGGAGCTCTTGAGCAGTCAATGATCATCTCGCTTCAGGTAAAATTCTTTGTCTTTGGGAAATAAAAATAAAACATAAGATGACCTGATGACAGAATTATATTATTTTCTAAATAAAATGAAACAAAGTCAAACAAGCCAACTTGTGATATTTTCCTTTAAATCTCACCAAATTTCTTTAAATCTCACCATCTATGCTTACTATTAATATCAATTTATTGATTGTATATTATTATACTATATTATTAAAATATTGCATTTATATAAAAATAATACATTACTGTTTAATAATTCTAAATATATTATGTAAAAATGTGTATAAAAACTTGAGGAGGTATAATATGTACCTTTAAATTAAAATAAATTGACTCCGAATACAATCTCAATATGTTAGGTTACAGTACTGGTCCTGGGAGACTCACATTGGAAAGAGGCGGAGCGTAATCGCTTATGCTGATGAAAGTGGGCGGGGTTGTGGGCGGAGCGTTGCCACACACAGTCAGAGGACTCTTGAACTACATTAGTGAGCCATCGCGCTTTGAACAGTCAGTACGTAAAGATGCGCTCGTCAGAATTCCGCGCTGTTTGTCCTATTTAATCACTTGTGATTAGCCATAAACGCGACGTTGCAACAAAAGAAGCTGTCTAAAGTTTAAAGGATATTGGAAACATCTGTCAGGCTGAGCCTGTTTTGTTATTAGGCTACTCGCTTCTCTTTTGTTTGGAGTGTGATTCCATTGAACTTGGTCCATTGTTGTTGGATGAGAAGCTCAACTTGGCATTGAGGCTCCTGGGATTCAATACTACGGAGCAAACAGTGGTAAGACTTTACTGTTAACATAAATTATTCTGTTTGTGCGACATATTCCAAAAGGTCCCATCAGAACTTTAGATAAAAGTACACTGTGTTTTAGATACAATGAAGCATTTGCTCTTCAAGTGTCTTACTGATGTAAGTTTTCATACAGTGTCAACCATAGTATTTCCTTATTTTAGGCTTATTTTACCTTAAAATGCATGCATTAAATAATGAACTGTATGTATACATTATATTAGAAGAGTATTTCTAGGGGGAAAAAATTGTTTGTTGTCGGATTAACCCAAATAATTAAATTAAAATATAAAAAAATAAGTTAATGTAATAATGTTTATTAATACCCATTTATAATAAAGAAATGTATTTCATTATTTTTCTGCTTATTGTATGTTATTTGATATTTAAAATGTTTGCAGAATTCATTCTCTGTCATGGCTTTTTATGGGATATTTTGTAGTACACTCTGACCTATGGCTTTTTATACTTAATATATGGAAAGATCTTCATTGTTCCTATTAAATCATTTATTTACAGCCCGTCTGTTTTACAGCCGAAAGAATTTTACCAAACTTATCTGCATTTCACCTTTTGTAGACACCTTTTGTAGGAAGTTTTGTAGACTACCAATGCACAAGAGTGTGAAGTTGAGTTAGTAGTTAACAAGTGATCTCTAATGGGGGTCTTTGACATGCAGCTTGTTGGGATGGCAAACTGAAAGGGAAAACGAGGAGCTTGTGATTTTGAGTCATTAGTATAGTGGCGTTAAATGCCTGGTTGGAGCTTGAAGCTGATGTTAGGCTGTTAGCTTGCTGCTTGCATCTGAAGTGAAGAAAAAGTTGTAGAATTGTTGCACTTTAAACAGAATGAAGTGTTACGTAACTACTTGGAG